CTTCTTTGATCATACAGTTTGGCATTATTTTGGTGGTGGATGAATCACTGATGACCCATTTTCTTTCACTTGAGAGAAGGCAGAAGTATGTTGTGTTAACAGCAGTCTTGGAGTGAGCCTGTCAGTTCTTCAGGGTTGGTTTGTTTTCACATACACATTGAGCATTGGTATCCGTTGGGTTGTCACTGGTGTTGGTGGCTTTTTACTTCCGCTGTTGCTGGATTGCAAGTGCTGCTGTGAATCCTAGTAAATGTCACAGGTGAGTTCCATGGAAAATTACTTTTTTTTTCTGAATACTTTGAGAGGTACAACCAGAGATTAAGATGATGTTTTGGATTTTCCTGAAAAAGAGCTTTCTTTAATTAATGGCTCAGTAGACTTTATTGTAGTACTTGGCCAGTGTGACGGCAAAACCAAATCTGTTAAATCACAGGGAATGGAAGAATTCCCATGAGTCTGAAATCCCACACACACTCTAGGAAACACAGCAGCAACAGAGGCGGTGAAGTAGGTCTGCTTAAATCAAGTTAAACGTACTTTGAGGAAAAAGTTATAACTGTATATTTTATTTTTAGCAAAGTAAAATCTTGAGTGACAGTTCTCATGACTGTACTGAGCAAGCAGTTCGTTACTATGGTGGATAGACTGTTACACAAAGAAAGAACATTTCCAAGCACAAATTTTCTTTTCTTCATTTTAACACCCAGAGATTCATTTAATAGACTCAATCAACCATTAAATGTGATTGTGCAAAATGAGGTAAATGACATGCAAGAATATCCTGCTTATTCCCCTAATCAAAAGATGTTGAAGACAGCAGGCAAGATCATATGACCAATTTGCAAAAGACCATAGGAAACATAGGCTGTTTTACCTTGATGCTATCAGTGATCCTACAATCTCAGACTGAATCCTTAGATAGGGTACTAGATAAGAGTGGCACGGTATATTTGGAGACATAATGGTAACTGTATTCACCCCCGACAGTATCTTTAGTTCCCTTCCTGTGTACAAATATAAATACTCCAAAACAGTAAGCAAGATCCAGGAAGCCATCTCTTCTATCTAATCTGAAAGATCATCCCAAACAAGAACTCAATATATATAATTTGATGCTTTGAAAGAAAATTATCCTGGTGCATATCCAGTCATTTGCAACAAATCTGAAACTGCTGCCACAATATACTAATGCCAGTCTTTGAACAAAAGCAAAACAATGGGGCCAGTTAACATGATGAAAAGTAATCCAGAAATAAATGTACTCATTTTGTGACAGAATTTTTCGCTATACCTCGCCCTCATCTACTCTTTGTCTTCAGCAAGCAATATTTATCTGCGTTTCTCGCCATCCTTCAACAGCTAGTGACTGTATCTCCATTTTCCTTGGTCACATCCATCTCTGTTCCACATCTGAAACACAGTTCTCTCTCATCATGTTGATAAATGAGACAATCCAAGCTAAATTCACAGCTGTTGTTTTTAACCTGTACTTGCTTGCTTGACTGCTGCATTTCAGACCTAAAGGTTTGTGGTGAAACCTTAGCTTGGTAATGTTTTAGTTGGGTTCAATCTACTGACTGATCCTTGTCTTGGTTGGTGTCAGCATGAATGAGGTTGGGTTTGGATATGGAAGCCTTAGTGGGCATGGTCGCCTTTGACAGCAAAGCCCAGAGAAGGGAAGCTGCCAGGGGAGGGTACCCACCAGCCTGCGGCAGGGCTTTTCCTTGCTGTTGAGTGGGCTTTCCTGACTGGTTTGATCATTCTTGTGTCAGGGTAGAGATGGATGCCTCGAGTTGTACATCAAAAGATTACATGGAATGGCTTTCGGTCATGTACCTGCTTCACTTTCACTGCATACAGTCTAGCATTGTCAGAGCTGCAGGTTGTTTTTGAGTTTGATACCATATCTACATATGATACCATATGGTACATCCATGATACCGTATCTTTCTATGTATACCTACATAGAAAACCATGTTCATGATTCTTCCTGTCTTCAAGTGTTCGAGAAGCAGCAGGCAGGGGTACACAACATGAAGAAGGCTTCATCTTGTGTAAAAAAGGCCTGTGAAAGACGTGGAGTAACAAGAGACTTTTCAGAACTCTGCTGTCAGGCTGTTAAGCAGGTATGGACACCCTCCACTTTGTTTTCCATTTTAACTGGGAATTCAAACTCCCAATGGGGTTAACAGCAAGAGCAGAAATTAATACATCGTTCAAGGCCTTTACAAAGTACTACATGCAGATGCAGTTATTGCACCCACAAACAGAAGCTTAGGGAAGGAGCTGAAGGGGATTCCTTACATTTTGAAGGGGTTGACTGTTTGCCAACCAGTTTTTTCTCCCTTTGTGTGTTGTGTGGCCAGAACTTGCACATAGATTTTGCAGGTTATTTCAGACCAAGTAAATTGTTACATTTCCTTATGCTTATTTCAGCATCAGTGTCTTTTCTCCAATCGTGTACATAGTAAAGCAGCATGAAATGTTCAGCAGCATTGGACAGCATTTAGGACTTACTTTACTTAGCCTTTTGATATATTTATGAAAGCTTCTTAGGAACGTGATTTAGTTAAAACAGCCTTTTTCTTGCATCAATATCACTAAAAATCAATGTGAGATGGGTTTGTGGATTCTTGTAAAGCGTTTATCATCTCAGTCTTCTTGGAAGAGGCAATTTATTAAGTGTTTCACATTGATGTAAAATACAGGAGTTAAAATTTCCATAGAGTGAATAACATCTTTTCCATTTCAACCACTACTTTATATAAAGCTGGGAGGCTTTTTTGTGGTAGCTTTGCAGTAGCCATAACACAGTTACTATACTTACAATAGTACTGAATAGTATTTTTGTATTGCAATTTTAATATATTTACTATTGAAAAATAACTAATCTAATTTCTAATCTAATGTAACTAACAGCTTTTGGGGCAGGTGAAACCTCAGGTGGAAATGAGCCAAGCTCCTGGCATTGCGCTGGGCAGCAGGCTGGCGTGCGTGCTCCAGCAGCAGTCCTTAAGGAGCCTCCAAGCAAGGCTGTAAGAGAGCAGGCTTCTTGAGACCTTCTGAATATATGTGTAGCTAAGTAGCATGGTTCAGTGTTTTATGTTGAAACAGCGATAGAGAAAAACGTGGCTATGTAGTTGTATCTTCTGTAGGGTGTCTGTAAAAGAGGAAAAGGATCTATGGGAAATTGTTTTCCTTTATTTGAAGTAATGAACATGATACATGCGTGGGACTAAAGTTCAGTAAAATTACTACCACTAATAATGCATATTCTTTCATTACCACCAAACGTGACAGTTAACTGAATTAGGCTGGCAAACTCTCACCTCTAAAATATGAAAATATGCTTTTCCTGACTCTTTGAAATCCTTAAAGGTCTGAATAATCTCTGATTGCAGGATATGTTCACGTTGAACGTATGATGGAAAGTCACGTAAATGATATAATCAAGTTAATGCAGTCAGGGTCAAATTACTGCTTTAGAGCAGAAATAAACCTGTGAACCTGGTTAGTTTAAAAAATACCCATTGCTGTGTATATTGCTCTCCTAAAAAGTTAATACATAATATGGAGCATAATCTCTAATGGTATCCATAGGTGACATAAATGTAGATTAGTAATCTTCAGGTCTAGCTTTGGTTCATAGAATCATAGAATGGTTTGAGTTGGAAGGGACCTTAAAGATCATCGCGTTCCAAACCCCCTGACACGGGCAGGGGCATCTCCCACTAGACCAGGTTGCTCAAAGCCCCATCAAACCTGCCTTGAACACCTGCAGTGATGGTCATCCACAACTTCTATGGGCAACCTGTTCCCGTGCCTCACCACCCTCTCAGGAAAGAATTTCTTCCTAATATCTAATCTAAATCTACCCTCTTTTCAGCTTAAAACCATTACTCCTCATCCTACCACTATACTTCCTGATAAGGAGTCCCTCCCCATCGTTCCTGTAGGCTTCCTTTAGGTACTGGAAGGCCACTCACTGTAAGGTCTCCCCAGAGCTTTCTCTTCTCCCGACTGAACAACCACCAACTCTCTCAGCCTATCATCATAGGAGAAGTGCTCCAGCCCTCTGGTCATCTTTGTGGCCCTCCTCTGGGGTCTCTCCAAGAGGTCCATGTCCTTCTTATGTTGGGGACTCCAGAGCTGGACACAGTACTCCAGGTGGGGTCTCACCAGAGTGGAGTAGGGGGGCAGAATCACCTCCCTCGACCTGCTGGCCACTCGTCTTTTGATGCAGCCCAGGATATGGTTGGCTTTCTGGGCTACAAGTGCACATTGCTGGCATGAGAGCTTCTCATCCACCAACACCCCCATGTCCTTCTCAGGGCTGCTGTCAATCCATTCTCCGCCCACCCCGTATTTGTGCTTGGAATTGCCCTGACCCAGGTGCAGGACCTTGCACTTGGCCTTGTTGAACCTCATGAGGTTCACACAGGCCCATCTCTCAAGCCTGTCCAGGTCCCTCTGGATGGCATCCCTTCCCTCCAGCCTGTCAGCTGCACCACACAGCTCGGTGTTGTCGGCAATCTTGCTGAGGGTGCACTCAAACTTGCTGGTTAGATGAATCAAAACTGGAACTTCATTAGGAAAAAAGGTTGGAACAGAGACTGTATGGAGATCATCATTTCAATGTATTTTGCTTTTTCCTGTCTCTGAATCTTTACTAATAGTACATTCTTAATGACTTGAATTAAGTATTTTAAATATTGGCATGTATAGGCCAACTTAGTCATTGGAGGTCATCTTCTTCATTTAACCACAAATAATAAAAATCAGTCCTTTATACTCAATTGACTTTTGCAACTATACTTGTGCTTTACTTGAATGAAAAAGCACAAATTTAAAAACTTGAAGTTTGCATGAACAGGAGAAATTTGTTTTTTAAAAGCCTTCTCAATCTCTGCAACATCACAGGACAAAAGCAGTAGCTATTTTCGTAAGTTGAAAGTCTTTTTGGAGTAGGTAGTTGAGTGATTTTTGGTCTGTTTCCACAGGTTTTCAATACATATTCCAATGAAGACTATGACAGGAGAAATGATGAAGTAGACCCAGTGGCTGCATCAGCTGAATATGAACTTGAGAAGCGTGTGGAAAAGCTGGAGCTCTTCCCGGTTGAACTAGAAAAAGGTATGGAGCCTGTGTTCCATTTCCAGTTCCTGTGACACTGATCTACAAGTCTGAGGAAGTCTACACATGCCTACAGAGCCTGTCTTGAATTTCTGTGAATCTGTTGTAGTCACCTTGGCTTTTTGGATTTCAAGAATTGTTTGATAAGGAATTAAAGAAGCAGTTTAGAGACATGCAGTTCTTTATTTCCCCAAGGGAATTGTTCTGTGTCACTCCATTAACATATGATTTTACACAGTGTTCAATGTGATGCTTTTCATTCTCCGCTAGAAGAGTAAAAATCTTGATTGTTGTTCTGAGCCCCTCATAAGGGTGAAGGTAGTATTTTTTGTGTGTAATTAAAATGGTAGAATAATAAAGTTTTTAAAACGAAGCAAAAGGATATTAATGTTACTGACATGGAAAACCAAGAGGAACCAAAGCATAAATGTTTACCAAATAACAATATAAATAAGAAGCTTCTGCTTTCACTTTCCATTTTTACAGATGAAGATGGACTTGGCATAAGCATTATTGGAATGGGAGTCGGAGCAGATGCAGGCCTTGAAAAACTGGGAATATTTGTCAAAACAGTAACAGAAGGTGGGGCAGCAGAAAGAGATGGCAGGTAAACTAGACTCCATTTTTGGAAATTTTGCCAGCAATAGTTACTATGAACTATGATTTTCATAGGAAAGAGTTGTTTGCTTAATGTATGTCATGATAACTCAAAGCTGTAAAATTCGGAGACTTCCTTGGTAAGGTCCAAATACCTGATGTAGTTATGAGGAGACACCAGTTTTGTGTACTGAGTTTAAACTGTTTAAGGAGAACAGATTTACCAAAGCTGTGTGTTCATCACTACCTGAAAACCCAGATGCTTTAGCATGAGTAAAGCTGGAGATTCCAAATTGCGTATGACTTTTGAAGGTACTTTAGATTTTAAAGGTGTTGAGCTCCCGCATGTTCTTCTGGCTTCAAACCAGCTTTAAACAATGAGTACTTAAGAAAAAGAGTTCTGCTCAGCATTGATTAGGAACGTAATTAGTGTATCTGAATGCTTAAACTCTTACTAAATACACCTCCTTTCAAGTTTACTAACACAGGCTGTTACTTTGTATTTCTTATTATACACGGTTTTCTGCTCCAGAGTTCAGTTTTCACCCCTACAGCACTGAAAGTGTGTTAATCAGTTGGAATGGGAAGCTGTACCATAAATCTTGCCCACTAAAGAAATGAATTGGTGTTTGTAGTCTTATGTGATGCTCATATAAAACCTGGTTGCTTCCAAAATTACTTACTTGATACGTGCAGGTTAATGAATTCCTTTTAAACACACAATATTTCCTATCATACAGGAGAGAGTTGTCTGCCACAATACCTGCCACAATCAGACCAATGTTTCTCATTAAAAGTTAGAAAAATACTATGTAATCATTTAAAAATGAAAAGTATTCTTAAACATCATCCAACCCATATAATTTGTTGGTTGGTCCCAGTGCATACCCTTTGTAAATTTGCATGCAAATAAAATATTACATATCTGATACACTAGCAATTAAGTTTACTTACATGCCTTCTTTACTTCTATTTTTAACCATTACTGATTTATGTTAGTTATAAATAATACTAAACACAAACTCAGGTAAATGGAGTAATAATAAACTCTAAAAAGTTGATAGCCTTCTAAAAAATACATTGCTGTAACATGTTCCTAATTGATGAGCACCAATAGCTTTTCACCCAGGCAAAAGGTTGTTCTGCTGTGGAAACGCCACACAAATCAGATCAGAAGGCTCTACGAGGCAGGGGGTTGCAAAATTTTATAACATTGCTCTGAAACTACTGAAGTATACTGTTTTCCAGATTGGGCTTGCAGGTATCTTTACAGATCTTGACAGTAAGATACCAGGTTGAAGGCCAAATACTGATTTATCACAGGCTTAAAAATTATGAAGGGGAGCGAAGAAGCTGACACCTCAAAATGTCATGACTTCATCCATTACTTTAGGTGAACGTTTGTCTGAAAGGTATGCTTGAGCTCAGCCAGAAAGCTTTAAGCTCACGACTGGCATTCTGTGTGAAATTCTCTGGTTGAAAATCCAAGTTTGCTCACTACTGCTCTAGGACGATCTGTATTTTCTGTTCCTGTCATTATTTATGTGTTTGAGTGGGCTACAGAAGTTAATGTTGAATCACAAGTCTTTTCTTTCGTTTCCCTAGATGGCATCTGAAAGGAGGTTGTCAGCTGAGAAAAAATAATATCTTTCTTTGACCATTCTAATATTTGTGTTGGTTTTCAACTGGCTGAATGTTCAGTCAGCTGAGAAATAGTCCTCTGATTTTCTCTTTGAGAGCCTGACTGATCATTCACTTGGGAAAGGGACATGTAATCCTCTCAGCCAGGAGCAGCCGGTTCTGTAATAAAGTGCATCAACTGTAAAAGGTCCTGTTAACTTCATCTTTGTGAAAACCCTAGTTAATCATTGACACTGATAGCAAAACAAAGTCTGCTAACGGATATTAAAACTATTTCAGCACTTGCATCAGATATTCTGAATAATCACATAGGAGTCTTCAAGCAGGCTCTTCTGCAACTACAATTTAAAACATTGCAATATCTGTAGGATAGCTCCCATCTTTTATTGAAAGACCCATTGAATCATGCTATAAAGTACTTGCCTCCCATGGAAACCCAAAATCTCTACAGAGGGGTTTCTCAGTGATTGAGCACTGCTGGCTTGATTCATGATGATGCAAACAAACAAGTAGTGTTCAGGTGTCATATCAAAAGGCGTTGTCTGGCACTATTTAGCCAAGGAGGGTGCTTTGAATCGAAAGTTGATAAGTAATAAGGGAGTTTATTGATAGTGTGTAAAATATGAAATCAATCATGAGACTGAATACAAAACAGAAAATCTTTTCCTGGATGAATTCATAGTGACTTCTTTCAAATTATTGTAGTGATGAGTCATTCACATTTTAAAGTATTTTGATAACATTGAGAAGAACAGTTTTGAAACATTACACAGTTCTTAACCTGAAAAATACTGTACATGTCTCTGCACAGGTTAAATTTTTCAGTTCATCATACAGAGCAGTACTTATGCGAGTAATTTGTTCAACTTTAGTTGGTTCGCTTCTGTAGTTGCTATTTCAATGAAGTGCTGCTTTGCATAGGCAACAATTTAACTGATGACCATCAGAAAATAATTGTCGGAAGAATTGCCAATTTCATTGATGGTAAAAGCAGTTAAACCTCTATAATTCAGGCTTTGCCACCCTGAGCCTAATTTTTCATTCATGTTTGAAATTAGATTTGAGAGATAGAGGAAGCCTAGAGCTCCTAATGGAGGGGTCTCTATAGGGAAGGCTGCCCTACAGAGAACATGGCTGTGTTTCTCTACAGAGAACATGGCTGTGAGGATATTTTGGGGTGGCTGGTGCCTGGGGTGGCTTGTCTGCGGGGTCAGGGCTAGGCTACAGGTATAGAGCTGTGGTGGGAGTGGGGCTGGAGGGAAGATGCCTGAGGAAGAGGAAGGCGGCCAGGAGAATATGGCTGTGAGAGTATAGAATGTACACGGCAACAGACCGGAAATGTTTGTTTTTAATTACACGTGATTATATAATTTCAATAACAATTTTGTTAATTGTATGTTATTTGATATGTATGTGTGTTTATATCTAATTAAAATACATGTATGTATAGAAAGAGAGGAAGTTTGGAAAACAATGGCTATAAAAATAAGAATTTGAAGTGAACTTAGGAGCTGTACAAACAAGAAATAAGGAGATACGAAATACACATGAAGGACAAATGGAATGAGACTGAGCTGCAGTAGATCAAAATAGAGCCACTTACGAAGTCGCAGGCAACAGTTCTCTAACATTACGTTTCATCACCTGAAATACTATAACTGTGTATCTGTATGAACACTGCTAGTCCACTGTATAGTGAAGTACGTAAAGTGTTGTAGGTAAATGCCATCAAAAAGGAATCTGTTCTTCCACTGTTTAGTTTTCAGCCAAGAGGCTGACAGCTTCCCATTCAGTGGGGATCAACTTCTTAAACTTCTTTTCTTGTAACTCCTGTGGCCATCTGACTGCACCTCATGTTTGCTAAAGTAAAAAAAGATTAATTATTTTTTACAGTATCTAAATACCGTAAATATTAATGTGATTGGTGTATTTATTAAATGCTTCAGTGAAAATGGAAATAAAATTCTGAGATTAAAACGCCTGGAATGATTTTCAAGATAGGAGTTTATAGGCTATCATGAAGATAATTTTTTCAAAGTTTCTTATATACAGAAGGGAGATCCTGCCCAGAACACAGTGATTCTGTGGTGTGAGGCTGCCAAAGAATAAGTCTTGTACTTCTTACTCATCAGCAAAGCCCAAAGAACTGAAGATACTGCTTGAATACATGTGGAACTCCAAAGCATTGCCTCAGACTTGACAGAGAAATTAGTGCTCCAAGTCAAGATGCTTCAGCCCTCTTTTGAAGGCTTTGGTTTTATTTGAGAAGTCTTATCACGAAGAGATCTTAAAATATTAAACACCTTAATTTAGGTATTTTCACATAATTTAAATGGGATTTTTTCATAGCAGTTTCTTGGTTCCTTTCTAAACTGTATTGTTTGGATCAGTAGCATCCATGTAAGTACTTGAAAATTGCTCCCTTTGACTAGTTCTGAATGTGTTTGTGTTGTTTGTTTTTTTTTTTTTTAATTTTTGAAACTATAGGAGTTCGTGCATTTGGAGAGGACATTTTAATATAGTAGTCCTCCTTCCAAGCATTTGTAGTCCAGATGAGTCCAATGCCTGCTCTAGGGATTTCGTAGCAGTGCTTACTTCAGAGAAAAGCAGCACATTTTTTATTCCACCTAACTTTTCCTGCATCCAACAGTGTCTCGACTGTAAATAAGTGTTTGGTTTCAAAGAGGGAGTCCTCATTAAAACAGTCCAAGGTCTTATTATTGTGTGCAGGAAGATCACACTTACACTGGGAATTCATCTTTTTGGAAGAAGTTAGATGAAATATTTTAAGACAGTAGGTCACAATTAAGACTGGTGCACAAGCTCTTTTCTCCACAGATGAGCAGGTTGTTTTAGTTAAATATCACATTTTTTTCCCATTAGTCTGAAATACCAGAGCTATGTCTTATGCTGTTTTTCAAGATTGGCTTAGGAAAGAATGATGTAAGAACTGTTCAAGTATCTTGTTTAATTTAAGTCATATGACAAATTCAGCAGTTTGTGTTGCTGCATTTATATGCGAGGAAAGTGACTGGATGATTGATGCTGTTAATTGTAATGGTGACTTTGAAGCTGGGTTTATGAGATGTCTGCATGCAAGGAATGATGCATTTTTCATATTTACCTCAATCATTTTATGACTGAGTTTTTGTTTAAAGTCTTTGTGTAATATCAAACTAAAAAGTTCTCTGTATGCTAAGTTTTGCTGAAAATTCACCAAGACTTCACACAATTATTTATGTATTTTTTGTCTTCCTCTGAAAGGATCCAGGTGAATGACCAAATTGTGGAAGTTGATGGCATCAGTCTGGTGGGTGTTACACAAAATTTTGCTGCAACTGTTCTTAGAAACACCAAAGGAAAAGTCAGGTGAGTATTTAAGAAGAAAAAAAATTGTGACTGAATACTTAAGATTACCTGGCTTATTTCACAGGAGTGTCAGTATGGCCAGGTGGAATCAGAGTTATTTGGCTTCTTTGTGTCTTCCCAAGGCAGCGATGAGTTATGGTATTACAGACTGTTGTTTTGGCTTAGATTTTTAAAATATCACCCCTGAAACAAGCTGAAATTGCACATAGGAGAAGACTCTTCGCTGACCTAGATTTCCATGGACCTCAAACTGTTTCTCTTAGCTGGAATGACAAAGGTCATGGGTGTTGGTCAGACGGAAACTGTGCCACCCCTGATTGCCTTCCTGCTCTTCCACTGGTGCGACTGGCCACGTTACTGCCCCAAGGTTGGAGGATTAAGGTAGTGACCACTCTGGTGCTCGCAAGGTGCACCTCAGCACAGAGGAGAAGAAAGTACTGGATGCAGTAGTGTTAACAGCTGCTGAATTGAGGGGAGTAACATCCCAGTATCGATTCATTGAGCTACCTGAGTCCAGACACCATCTCTGGGTTTCTGTCTGCTCCTATGCTGCAGTTCATTGAAAGGCATCCCTGTAAAAATCCATAAAGTAATGAAATACTAGTAAGCTAGAAAGTGAGACATATACTGCAAGTAAAATTCTAAACTAATGTAGATACTAATGTGAAATGTTTGTAAATTAATAAGAACAGTGCTTCCCTAGAAATGAACCCTTTTGCCATTTAAAAACCTATGCAGTCACATAGCTTTTCTGTTTAATAGCTTGTTAAATTCAGCAAAGATGCAACTACAAAATAAAGCCAAAAATGTCTTTGGCTTATTGCAAAGCAACAGCCATTCTGTAGTCACCCTTTGGTTCTCTCTCAAAATCCTCTCTAGTGAGTACAGCTGAATTCCTTAATTAATGAGTTTGGGACTGACTTCTTTTGAACTGTGACTAAACTAATGGTGATAATATATGCAGTCCCCCTCAGACAGTGGTGGTGTATGCTGGCGTCCACATTTCCACAGTAATTCTGTAGCTGTTCCCTCACAAAATTAAGGAATAATGTTGGGATGTGGATTATGCAGAGAATCTTGGGGGTAGTTGATCAAGGTTTTATTTGAAAGAGGTCATTTAGAGAAAAAACTATTCGAAATTGTAGTGTAATTACAGGTGAATATATTTTTGTTTAACATTTACAGTTTTAGCTACATCAGTCTCACATCTGCAAAAACTCACACATGCTGTGAGTGTTCCTACTGAGTTGACTATAAAAATGAGTATACACTTTATTAGGTTTTCTGCAGAGTTGAGACCTTCAAACATAAAATCCTTATGACAGAGAATAATGTCTTCCTGTGTTTCAGTACACAAAGCAAATGCTATGTATATTTTGTGTTTCATGTTTTAGTTAAAAAAAAAGAAAAAAAGAAAGCACTCACATAAAACATGTATTATATACATTCATAATCGTCTTTGTTCTTGTAATTAATATCAGATAAGTTACAGAATAGAGTATTTGCTTCCATGGAGAAAGGAAGGAAGGAAGAAACATAAAATTATTTTCACACAGAATGCTCCCAGAATCTTCTCTCAGGAAGTAAATTACAGTCAGACTGGTTGCAATCTAGACCCTTTTGTCATAAAATAGTGGACTGTAAAAAGTATTTCTTCATTGTTGTTGAGCTCACATTGTCAAGTGTACTATGTATCCTGTGCATAGGGATCATTGGCTTCTGACAGGTCTCATTTATCAAGGAGAGATGTGTGAGCTTCTACATTTTCCCTTGTAAGTAAGCTTAAGATATTGAGCTTTCACAAGAAAAATGACCCAGTGCAGTCATGTCACAACTAGATTAAAAACTCATAAAAATATTAAATTAAAAATAAAATGAAACATACATTATAATATGAATTATAATATACAAAAATATTATTAAATAAAAGAGGCGTCTAATTATCTGTTTGCACACTGCCATACTGTGCGGTTAGCAGCCTCTTACTAATGTATATGTCCAATTGGAAGAAAGGAATGGGTAGAATTTGGTGCAACTCCTCCTATTTTTGCTTCATTTAAAGCTCAATGGGGAAAAAAGCTCAGAAAGACTACTGGTCTGCTTTACACAGGGCAGCTGAGAAATGCATGGGTTTTTTCCTGGTTTGTGGTAAGCTGGGAGTGAGCATTGATGAGATGGCTAAGCATTGTGTGGCACGGGTTCCTGCCTGGCTTGTGGTTGGGTCCTGGACCGTTGAGCTAACCGATGCTGTGCTGGCACTGATGGACTGTGTTGGGTTTAGCTACTCAAAATCAGAAATGGTTCCAGAAAGTGGGTTGGTTTTGGGTTTTTTTGGAGGTAGATACTTCAGGATGCTTGATGTTTTGGCTTTACTGTAGGTTTAAACATTTGCTTGTAAAGTAAGCGAGAGCTAATATTGATGAATTTAGACATAAAAGAAAATGATGTATTTTTATCTTGCTGACTGTTTTTCCTTTTGTGTACGACACAAGCGCCCTGCCTGCTGCTTGTTCTGTGGAGAGAATTGTGTTCTGACAGATCCTCTTTCCCACTTACACCTGTGTTGGAGCTGGGATTGAGAAATCCCCTGTCCCTGTTTGGCAGACGGTGCTCACCTCTGCACCTGAACTGCTCCAGAACCTTAGGGACAACATAAGAGGATCTTCTGCGGCAAAATCCCTCGCTTGCCCCCGGCCATCAGCTCCTGCCTGGTGGCAATGGAGGGAGCGATGCTACTGACCTTTGAGTGCACCGTTCCTGTGGCACCTGCCATGAATGATCCATGTCACTACGGGAGGCAGGAGCACAGGAAAAGGTTGCTGCTATATAAATACCTTCTGACGTTCCCGCAGCGGGTGTCCCAGCTGAACTACAAGTGCGTAGGCAATGTACAATTGCACATCCCGCCTAATTCGAGGCAAGGCAACTTCGTGAATCCTTTCACGGGAGAAATCACATACATACTTACCTGCGTGTGTGCTATTTAACAGTGTCAGTTCAAGGGATTTTATAGAATTGCTTTAATAAGCATAGTTATCTTTGTGATCAGAACATAAACTGGGTGTACCTTTCTTCTGCCTGGTGTCCTGTACACGCAGAGATTTGTGGCATTGTTTCGTGCTTATAACCCGCAGCATCACATATACTACACAGTCATTTTGTCCTTAATCTAGTCAAAGTGCGTGCTAGTTTATGTCGCAGGGCTTCTTATGTGAGATCAGTTGCAAAGAAAGGAGACATTCCTGAACAGAATGACGTTAAAGCTACTTCTTAATTCTTTGCAATAAAAGCAGTCAGCACCTCTTCAGGGAGCTTGCATAATACCAGTACTTAGTGATTTATTTTTCTCCTTTGAGCCTTCTGAACACTTTATATGATCCTGACAATGGAAATCATTGACCTAGAATAGATTTTTGCAATGTTTCTGCCAGAAAAATGTATCCAGACTGTCTGTCGCTGACACAGTAAGGAATCTGGGAAAACGATTTTTGAACTGTTCTAGGTGAGGGTGGGAGAGGGGAAAAGACAAGTAAATATAAGCATCTATGATTATTTTATGCATTCTTTGAAGTATTGGGCTATTCATCAGAGTTGTCATACCATAATGGAAGAGTTGGTAAAACCAACCAATGTGGCTTCACCAATGATAATAAATTCAACTATTCTTTCTTATAATGTTTTATATGAAGATAATCGGCACCCACCAGATGTATTCTGGTAGCCTATGAGTCAAAGAAAGGAGAGGGAATTCTTTCATAATCCCAGCTGGCAATCAGCTTCTGTTTTTAGGGATGAGAATTAGTGTCCTCGTGACTCTAATCTGTCACATACAACTATGAATGCTATTTCAATTCATGTAAATATCAAGTCTTCTTTATAATTTTGCTTAACTATTTAGTTTACTAATAGCTCATATTAGCGGATTTCAGAATTTTATTATATACAGGAGGGATTTTCCATTGAAAAGTGTGTTGTTTTTCAATTTTGTTGAGTGTCGCCCCTGCTCTAAGATTAATAGATCAGTCAGAGGGCAGCGCCAGACTAATATCACTAATTGTTCTGTGCTTCTTCTGGCCGCATTTAGGATGTAATCCATCAGCTTGAGCTTTGCAAGTGGTGCCTACAATCATAAAAAATGGGATAAGGAGGCAGCTTGACAGTGGGAATACTATCCTGTCATGGAGCATCTCTTAGGTTTTTCTGCCTCATAGCTTGCAGTCTCATAGAGTGTGGTGCTGAGTAGCAGACCTGAAGTTCTTTGAAGTTGCTTGGATGATGTTGAAGGTGTGTGTGACCCTGCTCCTTCCCCTGTTCATCATAATGAAAGGGTGCTAGGGGACCCTAATGTTTTCACCAGAGAAAGCTCACTTGGAGACTTGTATACCTCCAATATATTTTTTTTTTCTTTTACAGAGAGAACTATCCTTTTACTGTACTCACCTAGCCTCTGTTCATCCTAAGACAAATATGGGAGATTTCAGTGGGAGCTGCACTTCTCTGCCTCACTGGATACAAAGATTTGTGCCCACACAGCTCTGGGTAGCGCAGGGTCCCAGGAAAGGAGGAAGACTTACTGCGTTGATACGCAGAAGGGGTCTTGCATGAGAGGGAGCATCGGAAAATCCCAGTCCTTCAATTGCTGCTTGTATGCTTTTATCATTAGTGCTTTCCTCTGAAAGGTTTCTTTTAAAGAAGTTAGCCAAATTCAGTGTTCTACTGGAGAGGCGAATTTTAAATTCCGTGTCCTCCTTCCGTATCCTGTCGTATGAATGTGACTAAGCATTTTCTCAGCTTTCCAAACTGTTGCTAGGCACTGAGCGGATGCTCTCATGGTGCTTTCCGAGTCAGTTCTTGAGTTTTCAGGGAACCACACAGAACCTATGCAAAACCTGTTTGATTTCTCATGATTTGCATCACCTTGAAAGTAATTGTATTAATGCTCACCTACCAGTGAGTTTACCAATTTTTGTTTCTGCTGAAATGCCTCAAAATCTTCCCAT